TTCAGTACCCATTCAAGCCGTCTCCTGCCATTATTAGTCTCAAAGTGGGTTCCTCGTCATCGAATACTCTGATATTGTCCAAGTGCAGCTGTAAAGCAATAAAACTAAATGAACCTAGATTTAAAAGGTTTACTATTTTGGCTGTAAATATAAATAGTGTGTAATTGTCTGTTACAATATCCAGTCATTCTATAAAGAAAAAAAAAATGGTAATTTCAATTTGTTTCTTATTTTTTAACTTCTAATTTTACCCTACAATGCTGATTTTATGAAACATGAAAATTAAGATTAAAAACTATTTTTTACTCTTAACATGAAAATCACCTTGCACTCAGACTTGTCAAAGCTTGAGACAGACTTATTCTTATTCAGAATTATAGTACACATTGCTATGAATAGTTGCAGAGAAATTAGGTTGATACAAAACAAGTGTTCACATAGGGTTAATTACCTAAATTTGTATTTATAGGCTTAAGCCACAACTTTTGATATTGTACTTTAGTAAATTAAAGTTTCTTTATAAAGGGAAATTTTGAAGTTAATAACAGTATTTCAACATCATGCTGATAACATCTTCTGCAAATAACTTACAGTCACAACTATTTCTTTTTTCCTAGCTGAAAATATTTAAGTCAACAAACTCACTACGACTGAACATTTAATTTTTTTTATTAAGTACATCTTTATAAAATACAGCTCACATATTTCAATTAGGCATGTGTATAAAAGTATTTCCTGTTTAACAAAACAACTGGTTTAAAGGGCAAGTAGAAAATTCTTTTGGAACCCCGATGTTTCTCGTATGCTAATGAAAATGTTGGAAAAAGACAAAACAAGCTCATTCTATGTAACAAGGTAAGTTGTTATATTGTCTTTAAATCTGTAATGTTAATTCATTTCCAAAGCTTAGAAAAGTGTCATTACTGGGTAGGTAGGTCATCTTTCCACTCAATTTTACAAATGAAGAAAATACAAAGTAAATTTGTTGATGTTGTGTATTCTTTTTATCCTCAATGACCAATTTTAGTTGAAAGTTTTTTCTCCAACATCATAAGCACACAAAACGGCAAGAGTGAAAACAAACAACAATGTAAATAAACTACACTTCAAGCATATTTGTATTAGTTCCATTCACCTGCACTCCTTATAATGTTTTACGAGTCTGTTCTGAAAATTAGAACCTCTACAGACAAAAATATGAAATGTAAATGCATACAAGGAACTACTTGTTTTTTTTTTTCTTTTTATACGTAAACTACATGAAAAGAACTTAAAAGAAAATGGACCCGTATCACCAAACAAAGTATAGTAAATGTATATATTTTAAAATAATAGGTATGCTATATATAGATATTATGTATCTCTGTCATGATATAAAAAACTGTTTTGTTCAGATTGCATTGATTAATTTAGTTTTGTGAGTGAATGTTTTATTATTGTTTAGTTTTTGTTAATAATTCTTTGACGATGAGAATATCGAACGTCACATGAAATATACCGACGTCGAGAATATAGAAGGTGGACAAACTATTAGGTAATAAAGATATAAATAGCGCGAGACGAGTAAGAAGCAGCAGACAGATAATAACCAAGAGAGTATAGTTGGTGTGAAGTTAACTATCGTAGAAGTGATAGGCCTAGCATTTAATAAGTTAGAGTGAAATTAACAGCAGAAAAGAAAAGAAAAACAATTTTATTCCATCAACGCGTGGTTCTAAAGTAATTGAATCAGCCTGAGTGCACTTTGACAAAAGGAACAGAGGATCTTCAAAAGAAGACCAAACGATTATGGTAACTCGTGCCACAATTGTACGTGAATCACAGAAAATATTAGTGTGATAAAAATAAAGAAGATAGTTCAGCTTGTCAACTGAAATTCTAAAGTAATTTAATAGGCCTAAGTGGATACTTGACAAGGAGGAGAGAACTACATATACAGTATTTATGATATGTCCATAATATCTATAGTGTTGAAGAATTTATTGTATTTACATTATCTTGTTCTGAACATATATATATATATATATATATATATATATATATATATA